TCTCTCTCTCTCTCTCTCTCTCTCTCTCTCTCTCTCTCTCTGTTCGCAAACATATTCTCCACAAAACACTAAATTATGTTAGTTTTGAGTGCAAATTGTGATTTCAATGCAATTTCTATCAAATGTAATAAAAATAAAACACAAGTACACTATAGTATCATATAAATTTATGTTACCAAGCATAACAAGGTATATTCATAATTTTGGTTTTAAAAATATTTGTTAATAAAATGTTTCCAAAAGAAATTTATACAATAATAATATTAGCATTGAGCAAACTATTTATTATTATTTGTGCACATAAAATAAAACTAATTATATACTTTAATTTTCTATTATGAATTTATATCATTTTACAATTTTATTCTATTAGAGTTTTGTATATTGGTAATAATTAAGCCAAAACTATGGTAGAGAATGCTTGTAGAATAAATAGTATTATTAAATACCAAAGGATATAATGTGACTTATAACTTATATAAACTTATAATGAATATTGAATAATTTTTTATAACCACAGATTTGTCATTAAATCATAGAATAAAAGTGAATTAAATTAATAAATCACGTTTAACTGTACTTGAACTGTTTACAGTTTGGAAAATTAGTATTGTGTTATTTTAACGACACCTATTGGTTGAGATTTAAAGCAATAAAATATTATCTCGTAATTTAATCCAATGCATTATTAAATTTACTTTTATTAATACTTATTTATGAATTATAAGTTGTATTATCACTTATAAACTGATAATACAGTCTAGTACAATTAACTAGAATTATTGAACTCATATGGAGTATGTTATAAATATACTTTTAGCTACTGAAAGTTCTTGACTTATGTCTAACATTCAATTGATTGTAGCTGATTTGCTATCAATTTATTAAAGATTAGATGTGCTTTTATAAAGTTGAGGTGTCTTATAGATCTCATTTATTATCAAAATACAGTACAACAACTTCACAAATAAAATTAATATTAATAGTACAATATAAGGTTAGTTGTTTATGAGCAGGCACATCCAGATGATAAATATTTCTTTGAAAATCTATATTTTTCTAATATTATACAAATAATTATTAAAACAATCAATTTAAAATTAGCATTAGATAATGACAATATTAAAGAATAAATTAATTTTTGTATACAATTGTTTTTAGGTTTATATTCAATTAATATCTGGTGTATTTTAAATTAAATTAAATCTATTTTTATGTAAATGTGAACTAATTGCAATATTCATGAACACACAATTTATTACAGTGTATATTTTTACTTCATTGATAGTTTACATTATTTACTTGTGTCTAAATAAAAGCTATTGTTTTATAATGTTTGTCGTGCAAAGTGTGTTCAATTAACTGATTGATTAGATATAGCACTACCTAATAATACTAGAGTTATTGAAATTTTAAGTGAGATATCAGTGATAATATTTCTAAAATATTCTTTCAAATCATATTTTACTGGTTTATTAAACTAATTATTTTATGCATCTTGAACTTATTATCATTTATTGACAATTTTTAATTAATCATAAGTAATCTTTTAATTCTTGTGCTGCTCGTTTAAATTAAAGTCATTGACAATAATAGGTTTTGTTTGAAGTTATAACTTTCATATAGAAAATAATTTAACTTTTAAAATTCTCTCTAATTCCACAAAATCTAATCATTTCTTAACATTATTTGTGAGATAAAAGAATTATTCTTTTGTTATGAGAAGTGATTCAAACATATAAATAGTCTGAAAATTGTCTCAAATAGTTTATATTAAAAGTTGTCAAAAACTTATTAACTTATAATTATTATAACTATTAACTTTGTTAACTAAATTAACATTAATATGAAGCTGATATTATTTTTATTGTTTGCGAGTTTGTCGGCAAATGCTTTCAATGTTGATCCCATATATAACGGCACCACATGGGTTGTGTTGGTAGCAGGGTCAAATGGCTGGTATAACTATAGACATCAGGTATTATTTTATAATTCTTTCTATATTATTATTAAAACTTAATTTTTAATATTATTTATAAATGTCGACCTATAGGCAGACATATATCATGCCTATCAAGTGGTCAGAAATCACGGCATTCCTGAGAAAAATATAATTGTCTTCCATTACGACGATTTGGCCCATAATTCCCAGAACCCAACCCCGGGTCAAGTGATCAATAAGCCGGGTGGTACTGACGTATACCATGGAGTGGCTAAAGATTTTGTCGGCGCTGATGTCACGCCAAAGGTATTAGAATTATTAAATATAAAAACTTATAAACTTATGATATTTTAAAAATTATAATTTATTTGATCAGAACTTCTTAGGAGTTCTCAGAGGAGACCAAGAGTTGGCTCAAAAGGGAAAGAAAGTGCTTCAGAGCGGACCCAATGATCACGTCTTCGTATACTTTGCAGATCACGGCTCCACTGGTATTGCAAATAATAGTCAATTATTTTAACATAAATTTAATTTTGTTAAATTTTACTGTACTTTGCAATCAAATTTCAAGACTTGATTGCGTTTCCGAGCGAATACTTATACGGAGAGGACTTAAACAAAGCCCTGCAATATATGTACGACAATCACAAGTATTCAAAACTAGTCTTTTATTTGGAGGCATGCGAATCAGGTTTGTATTGTTATTTATCATTACTATTATTTTAGTTTAAATAACACATAAAAATACAATACTTTACGCTTAATATTTTAATTTGCTAATAGGCTCAATGTTTAATAAATTATTACCGAAAAACATAAACATTTTCGCCACAACTGCATCGAATCCCACGGAATCGAGTTATGCCTGTTATTATGACTCCAAGAGACAGACATATCTGGGTTAGTTATAGTAAATTATTTAGTAAATCATTTGTAGTATTGCACATTTCATTTTAATGGGGCCTTACGTGAATATTCAGGAGACGTCTATAGTGTGAAATGGATTGAAAACAGTGACCGAAGAAGTTATGGAAATGAGACACTTTCTGAACAGTTCACGATTGTTAAGAAGGAGACGAATACTTCTCATGTCCAGGAATACGGGGACCTATCCATTGGCAACCTTCCTCTCACTCAGTTCCAGGGTTTGTATCATTATTATAACATTTATTGGTATAATAATTAAAATATTCAAAACAATGAATTAACCCAAAATAGGACCCAAGAATTCATTCCATCAGTTGATTGGTGGGGATGAGGTGACACCGGCTGTCTTTACAACCGTTGACAGTGGAGATGTGCCCATACATGTCCTCAAAAATAGGATCCAGGCCACCACTGATCCCGAGGATAAAAAGCTGTAAGAAATTCAGACATTTGCTAAACTGAAAACATTTCAAAATTCATTTTTATGTGTAGTCTAACCACACAATTACAACAACTCATTGATGGCCGAGAGTTTCTTAACAACCATTTCACTCAATATCTGAATAGTATTCAACATTTAATTGGTAAACAAATTGATGTAATGGTCAACAAAAAGCAAGAGCTCAGTAACAGACAGTGTTATCGGAAACTAGTGGACGCTTTCCATCAAAATTGTCTTAATCTAAACAAAGTATGACATTTTGAACAATTTAGTAAAGTATTTTAAATCGAGTGATTAATTGTTAATTTTGTTGCCACAGAATCCATTTGTTTTACGCAAACTTCACATCTTAGTGAATGTGTGCGAAGAAGTGAGTCGTGGAGCAGATGTGGACATCAAAGTAAAGGATGCTTTCGACCATCTGTTGACTTATTGTCACAATAATCTTCAAACAGGTTATCCCCAACCCATTGAATAAATTCAAAACTGTTATACAATTATATAATACTGTTATATTGAATTCACTATTCAGTGAAAATTATTGCTATTAATAAACCAAATTCAATTATTGAAATAACTTCTTAAAGTTTTTATTTAAATTTAATTTAAGTGATAGAATGTAAAAATTGAGATATAATGAAATGAACATTTAAAAAAAGTTGTTATCATGTACAGTATGTGAACTAATAGTTTAATTGAGATCTATATTTAAAAATTAAGCCCTAAGTGTAGTCAATAGCTGTCCATCAAATGAATGGGTGCCATTGTAATGAAAGCCATCCATATCGAGTACAACTGATCCCCACGTGTTAATCATGAATAGAGTTATTGAAAGACATATAATCTTCAAGAAAAATCCAGGAACAATCTGTGAAATATAAACAAACCCACAATCAGTTATAATAATGAAAATTGAATGAGCTAGTAAATATGAACAAACCATGTCTTTATTCCTCATCTTTGCCGTTTCAAAGATAATAGCATTAGTTCCTGAGGCCACCGGAAGCATGAATGCATAGGAGCAGACAAGTGTCACTGGTAACATCACTGATAATGGACTTATTTTCAGTTCAATTGCCTTTACAAACAAATACATTACAAGTTTAATAACTGATAAACTCTAACGAATTATATGATAATTATAAATAACTTCATATTACCATACGTTTGATGACCGGCAACATTATAGTACAGGTGGCCGTATTGCTCGCTATTTCTGTCAGTATCAGTGCTATTATGGATACAATCAATGTGATGGCAAAGGGAGACAGGTGCTCCAATACTGTTAATTGTGTTCCCATCCAATACGACAGACCCGACACCTCAGCCCCTTCAGCCATCGCAAAGCCACCGCCAATGAGCAAAATGATACCCCAGGCAACCGAGTCCTGAGTGGTCTTCCAGTCCAGTAGTGGTGCCGATTGTCTTAGATTTGTTGGATTCGCGGGAATTATGAAGAAGAACATGACTATGAATATGGCCGGACACGAGTCCTTTATGAAACTGTATAATATTTCCATTAGACAAGGTTATTTTCTAATAAGAATATAATGATTATACAGTACTTGTGCTGATCATTCATATAAAGAGCCCAACCCTTGAGAAAGTCTGGGTCTCTGAAGAACCAAAGGAGCAGTAATAACACGAATAGTACGAGAACTGAGAACTCGTAGAAACTGTTGATTAAATAATTATCAAAAATTAATTCAAATATAATTTACGTATAAATAAGATATGACTCACGAAATAGACCCCAATTCGTCGTATTTATATTTAATGGCTTTATATACGGCTTCGTTGTCTTTCTCTTCAGTCAAACTATTCATTGAAACAAAAATTAAATCATAATATAATCTATAAACGCAATAAATATTCATTAATATCTTACGAGTCTTCGGGGGTCTTCATGAAGAATGAGACCATTAGTCCCCATGTAATGAACACAAGTAAAAACATGCCTGGTACATTGAATATCATCCAATCAGAGAATGATATCGGATTTCTGTATTCAAAAAATATTGAGATATAGTTTTATGAAGGTTGGCGTATGCTGTTTGTCATAATTGTTATGTATGTCTGTCCCAAATGTATAGTAATCTGGCGGCGACTGCACTCATGATACCCATTATAAACGCAGCGATGGATCAAATAAAACAACGGAAATCCAAATCATACGGAACTCTAACGCAAAGCAACGGTTTGTCAGACGATTAGATAACTATTTTTATATTTACTCTCATTTCATACGATATTATAATGATTTTCTTAAGATTTTTGTTATTCGTAAACAATAAATATTGAACTCAATAAATATATGTAAATATATTAATCAAACATTTAATTCCCATTAACTGGATAATAGTGTTGTCGTTGGAGTACAGGGAAGGGCAGTACAAATCACAAGTGCGGAAAACTAGTGCCACTCAGTAGGTGTAGGTTTGCATTGATTACGAAATCAAAGTTTAATTATATTTCAATTCTCTCATCGATTAGTATCCGAATAGAAGATGAATCCCAGGAATCCATCCGAAAGTCTGTATTTCTAGGCGTTTGTTACGCGGCCAACATTGGAGGGACGGGTACTCTGACGGGTACGTCCACTAACCTCATACTTAATGGAATACTCAAAGAGTGAGATATACTACCAATTATGATATGTCTGTCCACTATATCTCAATATTTTTTGAATACAGAAATCCGATATCATTCTCTGATTGGATGATATTCAATGTACCAGGCATGTTTTTACTTGTGTTCATTACATGGGGACTAATGGTCTCATTCTTCATGAATACTATATCTCAATATTTTTTGAATACAGAAATCCGATATCATTCTCTGATTGGATGATATTCAATGTACCAGGCATGTTTTTACTTGTGTTCATTACATGGGGACTAATGGTCTCATTCTTCATGAAAACCCCCGAAGACTCGTAAGATATTAATGAATATTTGTTGCGTTTATAGATTATAAATGATTTAATTTATTGTATGAATGAATAGTTTGACTGAAGAGAAAGACAACGAAGCCGTATATAAAGCCATTAAATATAAATACGACGAATTGGGGTCTATTTCGTGAGTCATATCTTATTTTATAAGTAAATTATATTTGAATTAATTTTTCATAATTATTTAATCGACAGTTTCTACGAGTTCTCAGTTCTCGTACTTTTCGTCTTATTACTGCTCCTTTGGTTCTTCAGAGACCCAGACTTTCTCAAGGGTTGGGCTCTTTATATGAATGATCAGCACAAGTACTGTATAATCATTATATTCTTATTAGAAAAATAACCTTGACTAAATGAAATATTATACAGTTTCATAAAGGACTCGTGTCCGGCCATATTCATAGTCATGTTCTTCTTCATAATTCCCGCAAATCCAACAAATCTAAGACAATCGGCACCACTACTGGACTGGAAGACCACTCAGGACTCGGTGGCCTGGGGTATCATTTTGCTCATTGGCGGTGGCTTTGCGATGGCTGAAGGGGCTGAGGTGTCGGGTCTGTCGTATTGGATGGGAACACAATTAACAGTATTGGAGCACCTGTCTCCTTTTGCCATCACATTGATTGTAAGCATAATAGCGCTGATACTGACAGAAATAGCGAGCAATACGGCCACCTGTACTATAATGTTGCCGGTCATCAAACGTATGGTAATATGAAGTTATTTATAATTATCATATAATTCTCTAGAGTTTATCAGTTATTAAACTTGTAATGTATTTGTTTGTAAAGGCAATTGAACTGAAAATAAGTCCATTATCAGTGATGTTACCAGTGACACTTGTCTGTTCCTATGCATTCATGCTTCCGGTGGCCTCAGGAACTAATGCTATTATCTTTGAAACGGCAAAGATGAGGAATAAAGACATGGTTTGTTCATATTTACTAGCTCATCAATTTTCATTATTATAACTGATTGTGGGTTTGTTTATATTTCACAGATTGTTCCTGGATTTTTCTTGAAGATTATATGTCTTTCAATAACTCTATTCATGATTAACACGTGGGGATCAGTTGTAC